CGCCTCTCGGGTTGCCAGATGGTTTCAGCAAAAATGCCGGACACACGTGACATTCCATCACAATCGACATTCCGGCTTATTAGAAAACACCCGACAGTTCTATTAGCTCATTTCTTTTTCCTCAATTTGTTTCCCGAACACAAAGCTCAAATACTGGACTGTGAGGTTCAAAACGGGACACCTGGCGACCCTAGCCACCTCGCCTCTCGGGTTGCCAGATGGTTTCAGCAAAAATGCCGGACACACGTGACATTCCATCACAATCGACATTCCGGCTTATTAGAAAACACCCGACAGTTCTATTAGCTCATTTCTTTTTCCTCAATTTGTTTCCCGAACACAAAGCTCAAATACTGGACTGTGAGGTTCAAAACGGGACACCTGGCGACCCTAGCCACCTCGCCTTGCCCAGGCAAGACAACGGAGAAAGCCGAGCCGCCCTCACCCTGGCTGCCCTGCCTATCGCAACACTGCTGCCTGCAGCAGCGCATTTAAATCCTGCCTGAAAACGATTTACCTTCGTGAAAAACAGAACCCCCACTGCAGATACCCAGCCCTCAGCAGCCAAGAGTCCCAGATCCCAAGGGCAGAAGGAGCCTCTGTGATTGAAAAGGCTCCCGTGTACCCAGCAGTTCTGCTCAGTGGGCACGAAATACTACAGCCAGTTCCCGCTCGGAGCGCCGGCAAATCGCGGCAGAAGTCGGAGCGGGGTCTCAGACACTCGCGCTTGACTCTGGATCCATGGGACTCTTTCATGGGGGCCACGTTATCTATCCATCCTCGCAAACTCTCGCTGACGCCGGCCCCGGGGCCCCATCTTCCCACACGCTGCCGAATGAATGAAACTCTCCAAATCAAATAAACAGAGCTTTCCCGTCTGGAATGCGAGAAGGACCCCACACGGGCGTCTGCAGAAGTTGCCAGAAAAAATACTGTCTGTCCCAGGGCCTGTCAGTCAAGGAAATGGCTCGATCCAGTCACAAGCCACCAGACCCAATTAAGCCTGACGCTATTTTTAACCCTGGGGGATCCTGGCTCTATTTGTGCAGCATTTCATGAAGCGTCTGACAAGTGGGAAAGGCAGGGCATGTCTATACATCTCATCTAGAAAGCATGCAACACACGGACACGCACGGACACGCACAGGCCACACGTGGGAGCTAAGGCAGAAAGGAATTTCATTCTCCTCAGAACCTGTTGGCCCCTCTTGCAAGGCGATTCCAGGGTACTTTCCATAATGGTTGCTTTGCTGTGACTCAGACGTCGCCCTGTACAGGGTGACAACAAGGCTACACTTCTGATAGCAGCAAGAACACCATGGGAGGTGAATGGGGAAGGCTCACGGCAGTTTGGGCTGCATTCAGAGGAGCGTTGCCAGCAGATCCAGAGAAGTGATTATTCCCCTTTATTCGGCTCTGGTGAAGCCATAGCTGGAGTGCTGCGTCCGGCGCTGGGCCCCCCACTACAGAAAGGATGTGGACGCATTGGAGAGAGTCCAGCAGAGGAAAACACGAATGCTGAGGGGGCTGGAGCACAAGACCTACGAGGCAAGGCTGAGGGATTTGGGCTATTTAGACTGCAGAAGAGAACGTTGAGGGGGGATTTGAGAGCAGCCTGCAGCTCCCTGAAGGGGGTTCCAAAGAGGCTGGAGAGAGGCTGGTCTCAGTGGGGGCAGGTGGCAGAACAAGGAGCAATGGGCTCAAGTGGCAGGGGGGGAGGGCTAGGTTGGATATTAGGGAAAACGATTTCCCCAGGCAGGTGGGAAGCGCTGGGCTGGGTTCCCTAGGGAGGGGGTGGAATCTACATCCCTAGAGGTGTTTAAGTCCCAGCCTGACCAAGCCCTGGCTGGGCTGAGTGAGTTGGGCTGATCCCGCTTTGGGAGGGGGCTGGACTCGGTGCCTCCTGGGGTCTCTGCCCGCCCGGGGGTCCTATAGTTGTGTAAAAGCCCCATTATTTTGTATTTATTTCAGATACTGTGTTAGGGTATGTCTACACTACCCCGCTAGTTCGAACTAGCGGGGGTTATGTAGTCATCCGCAGTTGCAAATGAAGCCTGGGATTTGAATTTCCCGGGCTTCATTTGCATAAAGCCGGCCGGCGCCATTTTTCAATGCCGGCTAGGTCGTACCCCGTGCCGCGCAGCTCCTGGCTGCACAGACTAGCTAGTTCGGATAAGGCTTCCTATCCGAACTAGCTGTACGCCTCGTGGAACAGGCTACACGCGGCATGGGGTCCAACCTAGCCGGCATTTAAAAATGGCGCCAGCCGGCTTTATGCAAATGAAGCCCGGGAAATTCAAATCCCGGGCTTCGTTTGCAACTCCGTATGACTACATTACCCCCGCTAGTTCGAACTAGGGGGGTAGTGTAGACATACCCTGGGATTCTTTGTCCAGGTTCTGTGGCTCTAAACCCGAGGAAATGAAGTGAGCTCAGTAGCATTTCCCAGGCTCTCCCGCAGTGAACTCGACTGTGTCGTTTCCATGCCCCCAACAGTGACCCCAGCTCTGCCTCATTTGTCTTCATTTCAAACCCCGGCGGCTTTGCTGGGCTCAGGGTGAATGAACTTCCAGCTCTGGGAGACAGATTACGCACTTCATCTCCCGTCCAGGAAGCCGCCCTACAGCGACGCGGTAATTGGAGAGCTGATGTGTTTATCCAGGAAACTATCGTCTGTTCCGGAGAGAAATGGACCATCTTCTATTTACACGGGTCAGGACAGAATTTCCATCTGTTCAACAACCAGGATTCACTCCAGACCCTGGGAGTTGGATGTGGGACAGGACCTAAGTGTCGGAAAATCTCCCTGAATTCATCAGTTATGCTGTAAAAGGGGCACAGGGAGCAGCTATGCCTTGGATGATTAATAACTCCTGCCCTCAAGAATTAGAAAAACCATCCATCCCCGTTCACTCCAAACAGGATCGGCCCAGCAAAGGCAATTCAAAAACCGTTTGTACCGCGGGAGACATTGTCTAAGTAAAGCAGCTCCAGCGAGCAGTTCCGATCCCCGGGACATGAGCTGATTGTGAATCACCTCGGCCAGAATCTCGCCCGATTTACGTCCGGGTAAGACCTGTCTCCCTCCCAGCCCCGCTAAAAAGCACTCGGGACGGCTACCAGGAAACGGTCGCGCGGCCTCTAGCGCACGCCGCTGGGGGACTGAGTTCAACCAACTAGAATTAATGGGATGTGAGACAGGGCCCGGGGCAACCTGATTGACCCCCCCAAGAAACCCAAATCTCGATTCCACCCCAAACGCTAGCGGCTCCCGTTGCCTTACACGACTCGCGGACTGTCTGCCTGTCTGTCCCAGTCCGTCCCCTCCGCTCACACAC